GGCTTGTCGACGTTGGTTTCACTCAAAGTGCACCAACCTTTCATCCGATGAGTTTAAATCCATCGCCAACAGCATTAAGAAAAAAGAAACAGTTTGGAACTGTGACTCATGTGCAAGTGACATTCGTGTTAAGACATGTGATGTATTGGATTCCGATAAGGATGCATCAGATGATCCGTCACCGTCAAAGGATATTGAAACCTTACTCAAGAGACACTTTGAACGTTTTACAACAAATTATGAACGTGAGTTCAGAGACCTAAAAAAATCAGTTCTAAGTGAAATCAAGGACTTAAGAAAAGAGGTAAGCAAACTGTCAGAACAAAACGTCTCGCTATCAATCAATGTTCTGCCCTGGATGACAAACTTACATCAGTTGAAGACAAGCTAAACGTAGATATGAGGCTGCCTACCAGCCAGGAAGAGTTTTTCACTGAACTGTCGGAACGAAAACGCCGTGAAACCAACGTGATTGCCCTAAATATTCCTGAGTCTGATAAAGCTGCTGGAAAGGACCGTTTAGAGGATGACAGAACAAAGTTAGTCACTGCTTTGCCTCCCAGTCTCAAGGATGAGGCCACTGAACTCAAGTTACGTAGACTGGGTCGTCCTACACCTGGACGTACACGCCCTCTTCACATTACCACCCGCTCAGCAGCCGATGCACTTTCCATTATCAAATACAGACCAACAGACGAAAACTCAGGTTTTATTTTCAAGACTGATCTAACTCCTCTCAACAAAATTCATCTGAAAATTTGCGTCAAGAGCTTGATTCAATCGTGAAGAGTGGTGATGACAGTAACATAATTAAATATATCCATGGTGTCCTAAGAATCGTTAAAAGAAATTTTCGTTCGCTCAACGAGCAAGAAGAAAGTATCTTACGTCCACCTGTGCTACCAGAACGTCAGAGGTCTGCGTACAAAAACTCTCAACATTTCAAACAGCATTAGCGGCTAACCAGTACGACTTGTATGATTTCGGAATCCTGGCTTCACTCCCTACACTAACACGACAATCGATAAAGTTGAAAAGGTGCAGCGTAAATTCTGTCGCTGACCTCTGCTTTTTCTACAAATTAGTCAATAACATCACTGATGCTCATGAGATCCTAAACAGTTTTGAACTCGCCCCTGCTGGTCTTACCCTGAGGCGAAATAGATTACTAAAAACATCGAAATCCAAGAAAAATTATGTTATCATGGTTCTCAGAATAGACTGGCTAAATTAGTAAATTCACTTCAAGGTGAAATTGATTTCTATGGAGGAACATACGCTGCTTTTACCGAAAACACCAAGAGACACCTGCTCGTCTGAATTACATCTAAATCAAGTCTGAATTACATATTAACTTACAATTATTTGAATATTTTCCAGATATTACACTAATATACCCTAGCTACTTTTGTATAATACTGAATTCTTTATTATATCTATGTATTATGCCTGATGGAAATGATGGTCTAAAAGAATTATCAGCAGTAATACATACAAGAGAAAATTTTATGATTGTAGCAAATAGACGTAAAACTTAACTCCACCAATATAAAGCTCAAGACGTTAATTCAATCCAAGTTCGTGATGAGCATATGAATGCTTCAGAAAAGAACGAAATTAAACAACTTATACAAAAACACAAAAACTTGTTTTCAAAACCCAACAAAAAATTAACTTATACAACAAAAGTAGTAGTAGAAATCAGAAAAAATTCAGACACACCTATTTATTCAAAATATTACCCATATCCTATTAGTTTAAAACAAGAAGTAGAAAAACAAATAAATAAATTACTAGATGACGGTATTATTAGGAAATCCAGATCCCCATACAACTCACCCATATGGGTGGTACCCAAAAGAGACGACGCATCAGGCGAAAAGAAATTCAGCCTGGTTATTGATTACAGAAAACTAAATACTGTTACTATTGCAGACAGATATCCAATACCAGAGATAAATAAAGTACTATCACAATTAGGATAAAACCGAATATTTTTAGTAATCGATTTAAAAAGCGGTTTCCATCAATTTCCTCTTAAGGGATCTGACGTGGATAAAAAAGGGTTTTCAGTGAACAACAGAAAGTATGAGTTCACAAGAATACCATTCGGATTGAAGAATGCCCCATCCATATTTCAAAGGACATTAGACGTGTATTTAGACAACATATTAGAAAAATATGTTATAATTAAACATGTTATGACGACATAATAATATTTAGCAAAGACGCAAAATCACACTCAGAACATATTGACAGAATTTTCGATACACTCCGTAAAGCTAATATGAAAGTTCAAGCTGACAAATGCGAGTTCTATAAATACCATTATAATTCTGCTGGAATTTCCACAAACCAATCTAAAGTAAAAATTATTGCAGATTTTCCATACCCCAAAACACTTAAAGACCTTAGATAATTTTTAGGACTTTCAGCATACTATAGGCGCTTAATAAAAGATTACGCAAAGTTAGCTAAACAACTCACAACTCTACTTCGTGGCAAACAAGATAGAATGTGAAAAAATATTTCCAAAAATATTCAAATCCAATTAACGGACGAAGCAAAAGTATAAAATCCACATTGTCGTCGAAAGACGCCATCTTACAATATCCTGATTATAAAAAAGAGTTCGATTTAACCACAGACGCTTCCAAATACGCAATAGGCGCTGTCCTGGAACAGAATGGAATGGAGAATTTGTATCTAGAATATTAAGTAGAACTGAAGAAAGCTGCGTGGTGTGAGAAGGTGAGCTTATTATCAACAATGATTGATACCTAAGTCTTTTATTTTCTCGACCTCAGCTATCTCAAGCCCATCAAGTTTGTAGCTCGTGCGGATCGGTGATTGTGAGCGAGCGAAAGATACGGCCGCACATTTGTTTACGTTGAGATCCAGCTTGTTCACTCGACACCAGTCACTGAGGGTATTTATGTCTTGTTGCAAGATTATAATGTCTGTCTCACAAATAATCGGTCTAAATATTTTGAGGTCATCAGCATACAGAAGGAAATCAGAAGCAAAGTTATTACCAATGTCGTTGACGAAGATGTTAAACAGTACAGGACCAAGGTGAGATCCTTGTGGCACACCAGAGATTACTTCNTTAATAGGACAAGAAAATAGCTATCAATTTAAATTACCCTTCCCAACATATAATAATCAAACCAAATTACTCAACAGAAGACTTATAAGCAATTTTGAAAATATTCCAATTCCAAAATAACCAGGACAAATAGTTCATATAAATATATACATAGCCGACAAAAATTTAATAATAGCGGCAGTTGACAAATTTTCCAAATACGCACAAGCAAAATTAATAGAATCAAGATCTTCAGAAGATATACGAGAACCACTTAGGCAAATCATTTTCAATTTTGGAGTACCGCAGAATATTATAATAGACAACGAAAAATCTTTACACGCCAACTCAATAATTTGTATGTTAAAAGACCAACTTAGGCTTAATATACAAGTACATAGAATACCTCCACACACCAACACAGCTAATGGACAAGTTAAACGTTTCCACTCCACTTTATCAGAAATAATAAGATGTTTAAAATCAGAGAACATAGAAAGATCCTTTCCAGAACTTTTAGATAGAGCAGTTTACGAATTACGAAGAATATATACCAACTCTGAGCAATATGAAAAAGCAAGACAGAGACTGAGACAGAAACAGGAAATGTCTTCACAATTAAAACAGAAAACCATTTAAAAACTATAACATTGGACAAACAATTTATATCAAAATTAATAAAAGATGCGGCAATAAACTGACTTCAAAATATAAAAAAGAATTAGTAAAAAAAAATCATAACTCCACATTTACAACACAATCCGGCAAAATAGTCCACAAAAGTCTTATAAAAGGATAAAATTAAAAAAAAGATATTTATAAATAAAAATTTTTTTTTTTTTTGAAAATAAAACCCTTATCATTTCCTTTTTAGATTTTTTGCTGCGATAACAACGGTAAATGTGAAAATTCTATATTACAGTTCTTTCCAATTAATGACAATGGACATCGGACCAGCAAAATTACAAATTTTATTTTATTTTAAAATTATTCATATTATAGAGACAGAACAGTACGAAAATATAATTGGTACTCTTTAAACAATAGTAATGGAAAAATTAATGGCACACCCTCTTGATCCTATTCTATCATCGCTGCTAAACCAATCCCAAACCTACTAAAATTCAATTAAAATAAATAAAAAACTACAAAAAGATCACTAGATTTTATAGGTACCGCGTGGAAATGGATAGCAACAAGTTATTATAAATAAATTAATGAATAACAAAATAAATGTATTAATTAATATAACAAAAACAATTGAAGACAAAAAGGTCGAATATGACTTAGTTTTAACCATCAAATTCAAATTATAAATTATAAAAAAAGAATTAATCAATACATTAAATCAGTAAATTAATTTATATTATGAGATAAACAAATGATATAACAAAAAAATTTATAGAAAATAAAAATATACACTTTTTTAATATAGATTAAGCATTAGAATTCGCTGAAGTCAAGAACGAAAATTGTTTAATTTATATAATAAGTTTATCGACAAGGGAAATTTTAAGCGATTTAATATTTTTAAATCAATTTAATGATTTAATAAAAATTAATAATCAAAGTTTAGAGAGTAAATGGCACATATTTAATAAAATATCAAAATGCTAACATAGAAATAGATGGAATATTGTACAACTCAAATAAAATAAATAAACAGAAAAAAGCCATTACCAGCCACCTCAATATACAAATATAATAATTTAGAAGAAATATTCAATAAAAAAAAAGTTGAAACAAACGAAACTATTCATTTGAATCTATTAAAAAATAATAATGTATTTTTCTCAATATACCTATATAATATATTTGTCAAGATTAGTTAGCACCAAAAAAGCTATCCCTCCCTAATAACACCAAATTCTCAAATAAAACATAAAGTGCAATATAACTCTTCACCTGAAAGCCATATTGCACGCGCTATTGACAAGTGCTGACCAAACACTTGTTTTCTGTAGGAACGGAATGTCAACCGTTTCCCGTAAACTGCCGCTGTTTTTTAGTTAAGTAAAAATAGAATAAGGTTCAGTTGTAATTAATCTACCACCCAATAAAGGAGATATTCGCGACTAAAAATATATTTTTATATCTTTTTCTGTGGTTTTAATCAAAAAAAACCTAACTTACACAAGGTATATGAATAAGTATTTAATTTAAGCATTGCTTAGCCACGCTTACCTGTATAGCACCCAAACTCTGCGAGACTGTGGAGCTTATTGATGTGGACAATTTTTCGCACATTCCAAATCTTGCGATGCAAATAGAAAGGCAATACAACCTAGAGGAGGCAAGAAAATGAAAGTAGCGACAGCGACACAGTTGATCCCTCTAGATTTGCAGCTCAGGAGGAGCAATGACAGTTTTCTTCCGTTCTCTGCAATTATATTTAATCAGTTCTTTAGAAACAATAGAAAATTCTTACCTTCTTTATTAACGCCTTTTGATGCTGTAAAACAAAATAAAATAACATTATATTTTAAAAGCAAATCAGCAAATGGCATATCTTTACATGCAATTTTTCGCAATGCTGCAAATTTTCTGTAATAATGGAAGTTTTGGTTATACAAAGAAAACAAAAACCGCAATGGTAACCTTATTGATCGGTTGCGTGTCGCATTTTTCTATGTATAAAATAAAATAAATTATTTTTACAATATAAACATGTGTACTTAATTTTACAATTTATTTATAAAAAGAACTTATCTCAAAATCCAAATTTTTAGTAAAATGGTACTTTTTCGATTATTTCTTTTTTTTGAAATATATAATATTCGTCTTTCCTATTTTGGCACATTTATATTACAATATGTTTAGAATGTCGATAGTTTTTCTCTTTCTAACATAAGGTTTATCCCATTCAATTGGAAATTGCAGAAAATGTAATTGTCGGGTGAACATCTGGAAATGCTTAAATGTGTATGTTCAATCTGTTACCTCCGTCATGGATAATGTAGTAGTGAATTTGTTATCTCCGTCTTGTAGGCTACATTTGTCAAATTAATGCAAATTTACGAAAATACTTTCCTTTGTTAATAACATTGTTGATTTATTGTACTTGAAGTGATTATTTATGGATTTATTACTGATATTGCCTTCTTCTATGATACTTGCATTTTATATAAGTATGTATGTATGTACATACTTGTAGTTATAATTATATCTTATATGAAGACTTGAATGAATCTTTTTAGTATATGTTTTGTCTTCATCCGATAATTATATCTGAATACGAACCTTGCTGCTTCAGTGAGACTTGTAACATATCCAAACATTGATCAATATAAATGATTTTTAAAATAGAATAAAGCTAACTCCTGCATTTTTATTACATCTTTATTTTTAGAACTAGCTTTTCTACATGATTTCCTTCAAATAGAATATATATAAAATACTAACAGATCACTCCATTTACCATCCTACTAGGGGAAAGAGGACCTCATTATAAAAAAATTGTATATTCAATTCCGCACACGACCGCTTCGTAGTGAACCAACTGTCCGAGTGTGTCGCGCTGCACTTTATTTCATTACATTGACTCCCCTCCCGTGGCTCAATGACGCCTACATCGCATATCATATTGCAGTCTAGCCGAGCGGGTCGGCGCTCACCACTCGAATTTTTTCTAATACTCAAATTTTTTAATTCGTGATATCTTTCGAACGGATATCGAATAATTCAAAAAGTTATATAAAGGTATTGAATCAGTCTTGAATATGAAGTACAGCAGTATTCCGAAATAATGAACACATTAATTGTCAGGCCAATTCGAATATCGAATTTTTCGTTGATTCAAGTAAAAGAAAAAAAAAACGCTTATGCATGTTACCTTAAAGGAAGTAATGTTTTTAAAAAGAAAATTCATGAGATGAAAAAATTGTATATCAGGTACAAATTTCTATACCTATTTAAAAATTTGATTAATCGTTGTTTGCCTCGTTAAAATACCAATATTACATTTGATGGTTTCTTCCTGAGATTCAGTGAATAAAATAAATTGTATGAAAAATGACATTGTTCTGCTTTGCTCACTGGATACATTGTTTATACATTTTTCTGCACTTTCATGTTTAATTTTTAGGTATATGTTTGTAATTTTGTCATTCCTTTCCACTTTATCATCACCCTCATCGGAATCCTGTATGAAATTTTGTTCAACCCTGACTGAGAATTAAAGCCGCTAATGTTAAATAAAAATATTTGTTTGAAAAGATCTGAGCATATAATTTAACTTTATTTACATTTGGAAAAACCGAATTGAATAATTTAACTTCATTCCTCATTGTCAAAGTATAATATCTTCATCTTGCCTTAGGAAAATCATCCTCTCAACAGAATTACCCTGCTTTTACACATAGCTGAAAAGGAAAGAAATGCAAAACATAAAGAAACCTTAATATAGTTATTGCTTCTTATGAATTTTTAAATGTCTTTTCATTTTTGTATTCTGTTTTCACCACTGTTTCATATATTTATGTATATTAAACTCCTTCTACATACATATGTCTTCTTCATGTTGTTCGTTATTAAAGGTACTCAATGTAAAAAATTTGTCTGTTCGTTATAAGCGGTTTTCGTTTAAACGAATATTCGTTATTTCGGGATACTACTGTAATTAATTTTGATAAGGATTAGTACTAAGGTACAATAAAAGAGCATTTACAGAGGCGGCATTTTAATTATTATTTTTAAATAAAAGAACACTTATTGCGATGTAACTATAAATATAATATTAGACATATGCTGTCGCAACACAACGTTCATAGAATACAATGTTACGATAACCTTCACGTCATTTAAATATAGTCTTACGAATACATAGGGTGAATTTGAAAAACAAAAAAAAAATGTATGTCACTATTTTTTTATTTTTGCGTTTTTGTTCAAATAATTATTTGATAAACATTCGAGATCTAAAAACCCAAAGTTTAATTCTGTCACTGCTTTCTATGGAATTAACTTCTTCCAAATGTTTTTGATATTAAAACCGTTTGCTCTTTTATGTTTTTAAATATTTGTTCACATTGGGACATCACCTCTATTATTATTTCAGTTGGAGGTTATGTAAGTCACATCCGTTATAAAATTGGTAAATTGATCGTGACGGGCGCGCATGGTATGTAAGAAACGAACCTAAAATCGATTTCTTAAAATTTTTTTGGGGAAATTTAGTATACCATCCCACGATTTCAAGGTTAAGAGGGGTATGGTTAGATAGAGAAGATTTTCCAGATAAAAAGTATATATATTTTAGCCGCCGGAAACTTATAGTTTTCGAGATTTTTGCATTTGATGTTGAAAATTTCACAAATTTTATTTAACAATTTCTCGATTTATAGTTAATTTTTATTTTGCGAAAATTTTAGTATATCGTCCCAGGCTTTCGGGGATAAAATGTGTATGGGCGGATAAAGGAGATCCTCTAGATCAAGAATATATATAGATATAGCCGCGGGAAACTTATAGTTTTCGAGATATTTACATTTAAAGTTGAAAATTTCAACTATTTAAAGTACGCATTTTTTCGATTTCAAATGAATTATACACTTGTATTTTCCACTTTTATATCCACTAACACTTCACTAACTCGTTTGTTCACATTTATTTTACATTATATAGTGCAAAAATAGTTTAATTCAATAATTAAATTATTGTTAAATTCTATTAATTCTGACAATAACAAAAGGGTTGCAAAATGTCAAATAACCAGTGTTACCTTATCGACATCTTTTGTAATTGAACTGAAAGAAATTAAAACAGATAATACCCCAAATATAGGAATCCAAAACCTAGAGAAATAAACTATTACAGAGCATTGATGTTAAGTATTACGTTATACCCTCTATGAAAATATTACTTTTTCTTGTAGAACTTCTTTTTGCGTTGGCGGCCTTCGGCCGCGCTTCAAAAACAATAACCTTGGTCGGTCCAACACCGGGATGTAACAAGATCTTTTCGCGTAGAACTCCTTTCCTTCTCCTTCGGCCGCGCTTCAAAAAAATAACCCTGGTCGATTCAACACCGGGGTGTATCAAGGTTTTTTTGCGCAGAAATTCTTTTTGCTTTGTTTCCTGTATCTAGGGTATAATCTCTCTGTTTATTTTATTTTTCTTCGTTTACAAAATATACTAGTATGGCAACACTGGGGTTTTGACATTCACAACCATTTTGTTATTGTCAAAATTAATAAAATTGAAGAATGATTTAAATATTAAAATAAAGCTATTTTTGCAGCATCTAATATACAAAAAATTTCTAAAAACGAATTAGTCAAGTGTTAGTGGATATAAAAGTGAAAAATATAAGTGTAAAATTCATTTTAAACCGCAAAAATACGTACTTTAAATAGTTGAAATTTTCAACTTTAAACGTAAATATCTCGAAAACTATAAGTTTCCCGCGGCTATATCTATACATATTCTTGATCTGGAGGATCTCCTCTATTCGCCCATACCTATTTTATCGCCGAAAGCCTGGGACGGTATACTAAAGCCGATCCTTTATTTTATATTATATTATGCACTTATTATACACTAACACTTTACTACATTGTTGCTACATATTTATTTATTCTTGATCTGGATTATCTCCTCTATTCAACCATACCTCTTTTAACCCTGAAATCGTGGGATGGTATACTAACGCCGATCCAAATATCATTAGGCAATTAGAGTTGCTATCTGTATAAATTTTTTAAAATTTGAATTCAAATTTAAAAATTCTTGAACTACCATATAAACAAATTTTAAATGCAAAACCATTTCAAGACATTTTTGATATAAATTCTTATTAATTTCTTACAAGAACATGCCTATTTAATAACTTTTATAACTAATATTTTGGGATATTTTAATAATAAAATAACACAAACATATTTAAGAGACTATGGACACCAACTTCGTAATCAAACATATGATTTCGAAGGAGGTCTTCACGACCATCCTGACCAACAGGAATTCAAATATCTTCTCCGTTCGTATCTTTAGGGTCACAAAGAAGCGGCTTAAACCGATTGCAGCATTGTTACATCCGACAATACATCCATACATAGTTATTAGCAAATATGTATGACTTCATTTCATCTAGGTATACTATTACGAAAACTCCAAGTGGAAGTTCCTGAAGAATAGAGTACTGACAACGAATTATTGGATATCGAATTCGACTGTCTAGAGCATTTGGTGGGATACATTTGTAAAAAATTAAAAACTGAATTGGTTGAGTGTGAGAATGATCAGAAGTATACAAGGGTTAATCATGTAAGCGAGGACAAGTTGGTGAATCCAACTAAAATAATAATAGAGGTGATGTCCCATTGTGAAAAAATATTTAAAAATATATATATTAATATTAGTTTTCTAGAAAGCAGTGACAAAATTAAACGTTGGTTTTAGTACTCGAATGTATTCGAATGTATGTATATCAGATAATTGAACAAAAATGCAAACATAGAAAACAACTCTAAAAACTATATTATTTTGTTCAAATTCGTCCCACTGTGAGTATGACGATATTGGTTAAATGACGTGCAGGTTTTCTTAACCTTGTATTCTATGAACTTTGATAATTATGTGTTCTGCAAAGTCGTAGTACCAATTTTTCTCTATAATCAATAGTATACGCTATGTAAGGAATTTTTTAGGTAATTTTTTTACATCTTGGGTTACATTATACTGGTCATCACGAAAATTGTTGGTT